ATATAATTACTAGTTAATAGCATTTAATAAAACTTATTTAATTTTACCTGTGTGACAATTTAACTATTTTCCTTTAAAAAATTGTTACTTTTGATGTATTTAATCTTGTATTTAATTATTAAATAATCAACACTAATCACTTCAAAATTACGAAAATCATTTTAAACTTTTGATTACTGACAGTTGACCATATAATGTGTTGACCGTATAATGTGATTAGATGTTATTATTGTGGTTACATTTAAATTATTTTTTTAAAAAAAAATAAAAAACGTATTTGAAATTCCTAAATATTAATAAATAATTCACAAAAAAAAGACTTACCAAAATATACATTACATCCAATCAGATAAACGCAAATAAAAAAAAAATATTTCAACTACTTTAATTGTAAATTTGGCCAGCAAAAAGGTGAAAGAAAAATAATTAATCATTATATGCATACAAATTACTCACAATACTTTATTTACATATGTGCAAATGCATGTTTATTGTGTTTTTGTCGTTATTTTCATGTGTTTTGTGTGTTTTATTTTATAGTTTTAGGCTCGTTTTTGTGTCGGCCGGTCCACTTTATCATGTTTTGTGTATTTTTGTTATTGTATAGTGCTTTCGTATTTTTGCGCGTTTTCTCTTTTGTTTTGGTGTTGAATAGGTCCAATGTGTCGAGAACGAGGAGACGAGCCGTCCGAGCCGACCGAGCCATCCAACCAGGAAAATCCGACCAAGTCATACCGGGACAAAGAGAATTGAATGAGGAGAATTTTGGTCCAAGTTTCGTGCGATTCGGATAAGTGTGCGAGAAATTAGAGCGAATCGAACGCAAGGTGTCACCGGGGCCATGCCACTGCAGTTCAGCCCGTGAAACCCTTTTTGCGCCCGCGAAACCCTTTTTGCGCCCGCGAAAGAGGCCTAACCCGCGAGTTTCGCCCAACAGTGCTCGCAAATTCTTTTTCGCGCCCGCGAAGTCCAGCTATCCCGCGAGTTCCCAGCCTAGTGCCCGCGAGTTTTCAAGCCGCGCCCGCGAAACCCCTCCAACCCGCGAGTTCTCTCCCAGCCGCACCCAGCTTGCCCGCGAGTTTACATGCTCGCGCCCGCGAAACGCCCCCACCTCGCGAGTGTCGCCGAGCCCTGCCTGCGCCTGCCAGCGAGTGCCTTTCCGCGAGCGCGAATTCGCCAGCGAGCTCGCGAGTCC